TGCAGTCAGTACAGTGAAACGTACCGGGCAAGAATTCACTAACGGTTTATGGGCTTAAAATCTAAAACTGATAGAAAAGGAGGCCCTCTCACTGTCTACTACCTGACTCTAAAACAGTAAAAAATAAACACAAGCATTCCAACTTGGATTGTAATGTTTCACTCAAATCCTCTGGTTCTAATAATGTTGGCTACTAAGTATTTGATCTGGTGATTCAAATACAGTATAGAGCATTTCTCATTTAGCCAGTGACTTTCTGATGCTCTCTATTTTACTCCCGTCCCCATTTCTTTTGTGTGACATTCAGTACTTAGAAATCTCTGCTTGACATTTAGATTGCAGATCTGGGAATCTGTCCACCCTCCAAACCCGGGAAATTTGGCAGGACAAAGCCCTTGTTTCATTCACCTTTGTGTTCACAATGCTGTTGGCGTGCCTCCCTGATAGTAAAGTAAATGCTCTCTTATAACCCTTAATATTTTTTTCTTTGAAATGTGTTTCAATCCCTGACATAAAAAAAAATATATATATATATATATATATATATATATATTATATTTGCAAATCGGCAACAATTTAAACACAAACTCTCCTTTTTATTGTTTGGCTTAAAAGTAAATGTCAGGTACATTAATAAGCTAATGGGGTTCTTTGCATATTTTCACCCAGATGGTCCCGAATTTTTCTTCCCTTGCTATAAAGGTGCATTTCCCAAACGTGACCACTGGGGGGAAGCAGAGTGCAAAGCTAGCATTTAGTTCATCCTTCCTGTACCCCGGGGAGACGAGGTATAAACCTCCCGCTCAAAGACTTGCGCTGTGCCTTTTACGTAAGCAGAGCTTTTGTCCGTCTGTCTGTCTGCCTGTCCGTCGGTCTGTTATTTCTTTGTCAGATTTTTTCCTGTTCTCCTTCTTCAGGGTTCTTGGTGAGTTAAAACGTTTATTTTGGAACTGCCAGGAGCTTAATTAATAAACATGAAAAAACAAGTGGAAGCTGGCACGGTGCCCTTTTTTGGCTCAACGACATGGGCATGCTAGGGTAACTGGAATTCTTTACATTTGGCATCCAGCTGGTTCCAGGGGCAACACTGCCTTTTTTTTGCTACGAGTACTGAAGCTATTAAATTAAACAGGCTAACATGGCTACAGCATTTCACCCCCTCCCTACTATCCCCACAGCTATAGCAAATCTGCCACCTGTCTATTTCCGTACAAATTCAATTATAGCACCACCAGTTGTTCTTCTTATGCGAGCAATCAACTTTACACAGTTTCAGGCCCCAAAGAGAGGCCAGAGTGGCCTGCCCCTTTGCATCCCCTTTGCTGCCTTTAGCCGCCGGTGGTTTCTTTTGCTAAGCGACTGCGCACCTCTGCACCAGTGAAAAATGCAGGAATAGGCTAGACTGCTGTGTAAGGTCACGCCAGTGAAAAAGCAAAAACTGAAAAATCACCAACAACCCTTCTGCCTCCCCGTGTCCAAGCAGTGTGGGAGACTTAGAGGTCAGAGAAGTGAGCGGCCAGCCTGCAGCCAGGGCCACGGAGATGCTCCAGCATTGCTGAAAAACACAACAAAATGAAGAAGGAATTGCTTTAAAAATTGTTGGTTTTCTTTCTTCTTCATCTTTGTAAAAGATGTGACTGGGTCGGGAAAGGTTGGTAAAATGCCGTTAACATTCCTGACTAAAGCAACAGCACGATTATGAAGCGAGAACATGCCCTTTATCTGCGCTTCCCAACAATCAGCTGCATTTCTTTTCACCTTAAGAGGAATAAGTCCTGGGGGCTTCCCTGGTGGCGCAGTGGTTAAGAATCTGCCTGCCAGTGCAGGGGACACAGGTTGGAGCCCTGTTCCGGGAAGATCCCGCGTGCCACAGAGCCACTAAGCCCATGTGCCACAACTACTGAGCCTGTGCTCTGGAGCCCACGAGCCACAACTACTGAGCCCGTGTGCCACAACTGCTGAAGCCCGTGCTCCTAGAGCCCGTGTTCTGCAACAAGAGAAGCCACCGCAGTGAGAAGCCCGAGCACTGCAATGAAGAGTAGCCCCCGCTCGCCGCAACTAGAGAAAACCCGCGCGCAGCAACGAAGACCCAGCGCAGCCAAAAATAAATTAAATAAAATAAGTAAATTTATTTAAAAAAAAAAAGGAATAAGTCCTTAGTACCAGGTTGAAAATGCTGACTTTTATCTTTTTTTATTGCCTACTTCTCTTGGTCATATTTCTTTCTCTTTTCTCAAAGGTCTACCAATTACAAATGATAGTTACTGAATCTTACATGGAATGATTTCCTACGTGATCTCATAACTGTTGGACAGCAGTTGAGTTACTTGCTTCCCATGAATCCCTTTCAAGCCATTGACACTGATTTTGTTTGAATAAATAGTATTTACGGTAAATGTGTAAACATAGTTTTAAGAGCAAATTAGACTGAAATGTTCATTGATTACATCACACCTAGGTTTCAGGGTAAAGCAAACGCTTCTTCATAAGTGGGTTCTTAGCAACTACTATTGTGGTATAGTTATTATTAATAAATTCAGAGAATGAGAGAACATCAAAAAAATAAAATAAATAGGGTGTAAGTAGAGGAAAGAACCCAAGATGACTCTGAGCTCCTAGCTAGGGCAGGTTGGGGGCGCTGCTCAGGTGCTTCCAACTTGTCACATGTCCCAGTTGATCCCTGAGCAGTAATTACTCAGGTGTGTTGCTGGACTGGCATAGATGTCGATGTCAGCCGTTTCCAAAATACTCCCAGGGGATAAAGTGCAGGAGGAAGGGATGAATACCTCCTTCCCTTCCCCCTGCATCTTGAAGGTGCCCCGTGCCAGCCAGCATTAGTACACTGCTGGGGTAGAAGAATGTAATAAAGTGGGCTTTGAAGGCAGCATGTCACAGGAAAAATATACAGTCTCATTAACTTTAATCTTCTTTTACATGGTTACTCAAAAGAGAAACTCTATTAGAAGTTCTAAAGGGCACGTAGAGGGCTTCCCTGGTGGTGCAGTGGTTGAGAGTCCACCTGCCGACGCAGGGGACACTGGTTCGTGCCCCGATCCGGGAAGATCCCACATGCCGCGGAGCGGCTGGGCCCGTGAGCCACGGCCGCTGAGCCTGCGCGTCCGGAGCTTGTGCTCCTCAATGGGAGAGGCCGCAACAGTGAGAGTCCCGCGTACCGCTTAAAAAAAAAAAAAAAAAAAAAAAGGGCATATAGAAATCCTTCCCAGGCAAGTCCGTACCTAGGGCTAACAGAGGGCAGGTGGAAGAGCGCACGAGAGTTTAGAACCTGTTTTTTTATCTTGATTGGGCTGATGGGACTTTAATGAAGAAAGGCCAATAGTCCGTGGCCCTGAGACCACATCCTCTGCTGTCACATGGGTTCAAGTTCATGGTCTTGAAAACTGTACTTTTCCTGTCTTCAAATGTTCTCATGAGTCCTTTTCTTTTCAGTTCAAAGTAGAAATTAAGATGGGTTGTAAGTGTTTATTCTTCATCCTAGATTTTGGGCAGATGCCTAATTTCCACTGCTTCCTTACCTCCTGAAGAGTTTCAGGCTTTTTGCTTCTGCCAAAACGGAGCAAACATACAGCTTGGTACTTTGAAGTCTTGAGTTAAAGCAGAACTAAATGGACCATGTTTATCTGATCAATTAAGGCATTGCCTACATCCTTAAAACTGATGCTTCTCATTTAGGCAGCATTCTATACAATCCTCAGGAAATTAACAACAGAGATTGAGTTCGGGGAATGGGGGTCATTATACAAAGAAATGCAGGAAGAGTGTGGGAGAATTTGATTAGGCTCCAACATAAGCTTCATAAACTGACTGGGCTCCAGTATAAACTAAAGAATGTCTTTGTGGAAGTAACACTGTAGAAAAATATTAATGACAGTTCCCAAAATAGAAGTTTGATTGAAAACTCCTATTATGTAAAGGGATCTACTAGATGTAATAGTCTTTAGCGTGGTCGTTGTTTATCATGACAAAACCCTCATCTTTTTCTCAGAGATTAGCGTGTGTTCAATTCAGTTTAACCACAGTTCAACAGGGCCTGCTCTATAAACAGCACCATGCTAAGCAGAGTATTAGGTTTAGCAAAATAAAAAGAGCATAAATTAAAACTCTCTTAGAAGCTGACACTTTTTCTCTTCTGGAAACCAAACCGATCACCGCCAATTAAGTAGAATGATACCAAATGGTAGGTAATTGAACCCTCAGACTGTCCCCTGTCAACATCCTGTCCCATTCTTTTCAGAAATAGTTTGAAATAGTGCTTGTTTGGCTTCCTTTCCAGCTAGTGGGCTCGTGACCCATTCCAGAAAGACAGTTCTGTCTCTCTTTCCTCAGAAACCTGGCTAGATTCCTTAAGTCCCTGGTTTGAGTGAGCTACTTCGTTCCACTGGCACCAACAGATTTAACCTTCAGCTTCATGAGAATAATGACTGGGGTTTTTCATGTTTGGCGGATTCTATGAAGATTGCCTTCCAAATTCCGTTTCCAGAATTGTGGTTTGGCAAGAAAACGAATGCACAGTCTTTATGGGTAGGTTTTTTGTTGGATATTAATATTACACTATAGGTCTAGAGGCAACCTGGAATTTTATAAAATAGCTTTCTTCAAGTGCCACGTTTTAAGCCCTCATACTCGCCAACTGTAAAGGGGGGAATTGGTAATGGGGGGCGGCAAAGATAAGGCTGTTAAACTCTTTGACCTAAGACTTTTCCCTCCCAGCCCCACAGATTTGACCTTCTCTATGATTTATTGATATCTTGTGCATGTCACTCCCACCAGAGCAGAATACGCCTGTTCAGATTTTTAATTAAATTGTAATTACCCTTTAACTTGACTATATTATATTATATTATATTTTGGTATATACCAGAGATGATGATCTGTGAAGACTTTTGTAGTTGCCTGTAGAAGAGAAAAGCTGCTCTAGGGAAAACTTTTAAGACGGTATATTTCTTGACAAAAGAGCTGTGTCAATTTAATGGAAAATTTACTTCTCATCGTTCTACGCGTAAAGCCTTTGTATCGTTAAATGGCAGCCTATGGGACAAATTTGGAAAGCAAGGCAGTTATATTTAGGAGAAATTCACATGTCACTGGTTATATTATCATGGACTCATTGCTTTCTTTCGGACTTAGACGAAGTATCTTGGTTTATCTGACATGGTTGTAGGTGTTCTTGTGTCTACCTATATCCTTATGGAGACTGGTGAGATGACAATTCTGAAAAGATTGAGAAAGTAAAGAAAGCTTTTATTCTCTTATATTCTTTTTTTTTTTTTTTTTTTTAGAATATTTCAAACTGCTGTCACTGTTGGCAAAGTAAAGATTCCTCTTCTCTTATCAACAGATAATTAATACAGTCTGGTCTATTTCATGTTTGGAAAAATGTAGGTCTTGGACTCAAAGTTCCTGGTTTGACAAGGGCTATGGGAGAAAAAAAAAGAAGCAAAATGGGAAATCAGTAAGACAGTGAGACAGAATCATGAAAGGGGCTACTCAAAATCTTAGCCTATTTAACCCTTTTGCAGATAGCTTCCAAATACTTCCAATACAGTAAGCTCAGTTATAGCTACTGGGTTTGTCCTTGCAAACCAGCCCTGAGCTACGTTTAACTTGAGAGTTAATTTGCCGTCTCGATAATGACAGGCAAATTGTCAACATTTTGTATGTCTTATATGCATCTTTGGTTGGAACGCTTTGACTGCTCCGAATAGTGCAATGGACCAAAAATTGTGATTAATTAAGTAACTCAAGGACTTGGATCTTCAGTTGTCTGTTTACTGGAGATTAAAAAAAATATAATCCCGAGAACAGTATGATTTAAACCCCTCATAAGTCCCTTTCGCTCCTGAGAAACGGTATGGTTGATCCCATGTTCATACAAACTCCTCTGTCTCTTACCTCTGTTAAAAATTTCAAGCACTGCGTCTAAACTTCGTGGGTTTCCTCTGACCCATGACAAGTATGAGGATCTTTAATCCTGCTATTGCATGAAAAGGAATTTTGACCCTCGTTCAGTCACTCTCTGGAGAATTGATGACAAAAGCGTAGTATGACTCTCTTTAGTTCAGAATTGGAGTCTGTGGAAGGGAACTTTTGGTGGGTGATCTCTTAAGAACTCGACATGAACTCCTACTCAGCGCTGCTTCTCCCAGCCATCGGCCAGAACCACGGGGAGAGTGAGGTTGGCATAGATGCTTTCAGAACAAATTACATCACGTTTCTGAGTTGCCTGACTTCATTTCATGTTAAATTATATTTTAAGGCTTGTTGAACTTCTGAGCTCACTTTCCACATGTGTTTGAGAAGACGCTGACAGACGTCCTCCTCTATGTAAATTTGGTGTAACTGGCTCCACTTTCAGAATGTCTTATTTCTGTTGATTGTCTTGGCCTCTGTCAACCTTGAAGCAAGTTCAGTACGACCTTACATTCCAACTACTGTCCTTCTTTTCCCTCTCACTCTATAAGTCATTGGAAGGTGCAGATTTTATCAAAATAGAGAGACATCATACAGCTTTCAAATTTCATTCCAAAAAATCGTGCTTAGACATCTCTTCTCAAATACTCTCCTCTATCTCTCAAAACGTCCCTCACCGAAGCCAATTTGTGTGTGAGAGGAGCTGTCGTAGTAAAAATAATAAACTTTATTTTTCCAAGTGAAAATAAATGTTATTGATCATATTATGCTCATTTATTGTTTTATTTGGCTTGAATGGACAATTCCTCCTGTTCTCCAGCTACTGTCAGGAGGAGTGCCTTACCATGGATGAATCAATCTGGAATTAACATCATGGTATTTGATAACGTTCCCTAAAATAAGTCATTTCATTTGGTTACTTGTGGACACATTGTGCAAATAATCAATCCTAGCAGCTGCCCCAATATTCTTGTTCAAACAGTGTTTTATGTAATTTCATTAATGAGAATTTTCTATGGTCATTTTAAGCAACTGTTAAACCTTTTGAAAACGTTCCGAGTGAAACCATTTCAGCCAAAGCTTCTTAAACCATCTGTGATAAAGAACTGTTTTGTTGTTGTTCTTATTGTTTATTTGTTTAATTTTCATGCAGTCACATTCCCATACTTTTGTAGAATGCGCTGACCGTGTGCTTGGATGGCATGACAATATCAGATTGTGATATAAGTCCCTTAGTGTTTATTACCAGTTTCTGGACTTATATCACTGTGGACTGAGAGCAATAGCAGACGGCCATGCATCCACGGGGCAATTTGAATGGCACTGATAGAGGCTATTGTCTGTGGTGCAGAACTTTGGGGTTTGATCAATAGGTTGTTCTTTTATTATAGCAAAATTGTAATATGTATTCAGGAAAGACTCATTTTTCCCTAAAGGAAAACTTTTAGCCCTGCTTTCTAGAAGTAGGATATTCATCTATCGAGGATGGAATTATGGATTTGTAAAAAATTGTCAACACTGCCATTTACTAATTAGGCTGCCGTTTGATATACAACAGAATACTGGGCTTATAATCCAGTGCCTTGCCAGAGAATATAACCTTGGAATCCAACTCCTCTTAAAAGTTTATATGGAAGAAAGGATTATATCCTCTAGATCTCTTTTCGATATTCTAGGCTGTGGTTTAAGTTTTATTTGCGTATTTGGTTTTAACTTGGATTGAGTCGAAGCAGTGACCATCTGAGTTTGTGAATCACGGCGCCTTGACTTCTGGTAGAATCATTTAACTGAGGTAATTATAAATCATGCCCTTGGCTTTTATTTAGAGATGACATAAAAAAATACCAAACTCAAATATTCCATTCTCCTCAGGTATTTTGGGGGACATTTTCCATTTAGTACTTCATATTTGAAAATTCATGTGAATAATCAAGTTTATTTCATTTTTATAGAGAAGTCCCTCTTTGCAAGTTATTTTTTTGAATGCAGTGAACCTCACCTATGAACAAGAATGAATTGTTGATCTGGTCCAGGCTCAGATGTTACTGGAGCAAGTAAGTATGAAGTGCATGGCATTAAGTTCTGCTAATTCAATGATGAGTAAATCAGGCTTTCTTTTTTTTTTTTTTTTCTCAAAGAGTAAAGAGTGAGTGGGGGAGACAGGCATATAGGCAAGTAAGAAAACAAATACATGGAAACATATGACTACGATAAGTACTCTAAAATGAAGGTACATTGATATAGACATGTATTTAATTGTTGGATTTATTCGGCCAAAAGGGATGCAAACATGTTCCTCTCCTCCGTTCCCTTGTTCTTTGCTACTAGGTAATGATAACAGTTTGATTTAATACATAGGCATGCAAATCATCTCTATGATATTAGCACTCCATGTGGTGTCCTGAGGGTCTATGAAGAGAGACAGTCATTTTACACAATGTTTCTGCAGGGAGATGGTTGGTACACTGGTGAATTAAGCAGACTTGGCTAATGTGGGTGGTTTTCACCCAACATGGCTGTGGTGTCGCTGTGGAGAGTAATCTGGAGGCTGGTGGTGGAGAGCCTAGGCGGTAACTTCAAACAGAATGATGGGACCAAGCTTGGAGAGTCCCGCCTTAGGGGTCAAGGCCAGCACTTCTATAGACCATGACTGCAGGGCCATCTCCTAGAGCCTAGAGGTCCATATGGACATGGAAAAGCTCTAGCTAGAGTCAGGAAGACGGCATCACAAAATAAGCTTGTCTTCAACTGTCACTGCCAACCACAAGGGGGTCCGGATAAATGCTGACAGCTTTCTTTTGTGGGGAGACGTTGGGTTTTGGATGATGAGTCCTGAACCTTGGTAGGCGGCATCAGATTAATTGCCAGTGATTTCACTTGTGTTTATCTTCTTGAGAATCTTGTTAACCTTTTACATTTTATCCTGTTTCTTAGCCTTGGCCGCGGGAATGGTAAAGTCAGGTCCCGCTGGAGCAATGCTATCAAAGATGGGAAGGAAGTTTGATGCTGACACCAGGGTGGTGAAGGTTATCCAATATCTGGGAAATTAAATGCTGAAGAAAGGCCAGATCAGGGCAGAGCCATCTGGCCAAGACAGTTGCTTCTCTCTGGGCCTCCAATAGCTCAGGTTTGGGAAGAGTCAAGGGGAACAGCAAAGAGATATAAAGACACTCTGGGACTTCCTCAAGGTTTATTTATAGAAGAGCAAATGGCAGCACCACTAACCTCTCATGGAAATAAACATCATAACTTTAAAGAAACTTTCATTCCCGACTGGTTAAAATTAAAATATACGTTATAATGGTTGATGAAAAAGTCTTAGAGGGACTAAAAGTGGGCTAGTAAGTAATCTCCGGTGACCCCAGATTTGTTAAAGAATTGCCCAGGAAGCACAAAGGTTTTATCCAGATTGAATCCTTGTAGATTCCGTTTATCACTATGGATTTGCCTTTCTATATCTTTTACCAGGAAGAGCAGAAAGTCTCCTTTCATGTTCAGCAATTAGCTACAAAGGTTCCATTGCTTTCCTTCAAAATGTAACCTTTTGAACCGCAAGCTGTGACGGCAACGAAGGCTTATAAAACGTGTATGTCAGGAAATTGTATTTGTTCACTTACATTTATAGACTGTATTTGCCATTGGTGATTGAATTTTCTCACTAACCTTGTGATAAGGAACCCATGGGCTATGACCTCATGGTCTTGCCTTTACTTAATCTACCAATATAAAAACTGTGTAAAATTTCTTAGTAGTCAGAGGATACCTTGGACCTTGGGTCTGTTTCTCTTTTCTCCTTCTGATCATGTAGGAAAGTAACTATAATGGCCTATAGCAGAGGTTGCTACTCTCCCACAATATCCACTCCTCTTTCTTTCCTTAGTAACAAAATTCCAAGTTTATTCAATGCAGCAATGTGCCTAGCTAGTTAGGAATCATTTGTGTTTCCTAAATATCATTAAGGAGTAGGGACTCTCGTGTACTAGCTTGTCTCTTGACGTACAAACGACTTGCATGGTTTAGTTAAACTTTGGAAATATTTAAAGAGTCACACTCATTTCAGTGGATGAAATATTTTTCAAGCCTCACAGTGCCTGGTGAAAGCCCTCAATTTGCCCTGACTTCTGAATCTGTGGAGCTGAACTAAGCCGCAAAGGAAAATTGTAAAAGAAAGAATATTGGACTTTAATATTTTACTCCTTTAATTTATAAGGAGACAGGGCTTTTATTTGGCATTTTCATTTCTGTGTGGTAAGATAATCATGGAATAGTGTTCATTATGTTCACATTTAGGAGAATGTTCCATTCTTATATTTGGAATGTGATGGCCAGTCGTGTGCCTGAGACACGTTAGTTTGGCCTTTTGGGTATCCGTCCCACTCCTTCACTAATAGAACACTCCTGTTCTGCTTTACTGAGCCAGCCTTCTCCAGTTCTCAGGCCGCGTGGTTGGGAATGGTTGATCTTCTCTCTGACTGTGGGGCTGGGGCCGTCCTAAGTCCTGGCCAATCACAGTCACAGGATTCTTGTTTCAGGGACAGGCATGTGACATAAGCCTTCAGCTCATCTGTCTTTCAGGATGAGTAGGTGGAAGGATGTACACACTGAGATGCTATTGATTCTCTTTTCCATGATGTAGAAGGAGTCTGCCTGGGAATTAAGCCCATACAAAGGTAGAAGGACTGAAAGATGAAGGTCAGCCAAGTCCTGATGTTACACAGCACGTGTCTGAAGTTGTGCCCCGTCTGGCTTTTTCAGTTACGTGAAACAATACATTCCTTTCTTCAGCTTCGTTTGGGATGGCGTTCTGTTCCCTGGAATAGAAAGAATTCTGACTAACGCATGGTGTTCACTGTCTAACTCTTTCTTGTGAACTCTGGTGGGCCGGGTAGCTGGGCACAATTTGAGATTAGAAGAATTGCGAGAGAATTTCATCTAGTAGTAAGTGTGTTTTCGAGTTAACGTTTGGTGGCCGTTCTGACCTACTTTGGAGACTCCGTGGGCAAAATCTTAGTCTCCCACTCCACTAGGCCTCGGAGACCACAAAAAGAGCTCTTCTCCTAAAAGAGATGCCATTTTCATGGTTGAAACTTGACTTCATTGTTGGATATAGATTAAAACAGAAGAAAAATGACAGGGTGTGAGAGAGAGGTGGGCTCTTCTCAGGCCACGGTTACCTCTGCCAGTACCAGTTTCAGAGCCTCCAAGGGAGGAAGAGATTGGTCAGCCTACAGAGCCGGCAGCTGGGCCACGCCGATGTGTGGATGGAGTGACTGCGTGGTGAGACCCTGTGCATGTCCAGGGGCGGCTCCTCATCTCTCTTCCATCCCTGGATCCGTGCAGCTGGTGGGTCTATTTGTGTGAAGGCTCTTCCTGGGACATGACACCTTCTTCTGCTGTGGTTCTCCCTCTTTTCCTTCTCGGTCTTGCGTGGATAGACTGTTCTTAAGACTCTAGCTTCATGGATGAGGTGCCTCTCCTTGGAGCACTTAGATCACGTACTCCAGCTCGGGCTTCACCAGAGTTCTGAAATTAAGAGTCAGAGAAGCTTGCACAACATTGCATCCAGAGGTACTTTGCTTCACATTCTACTATTGCTGTTTGTGCGAACAAGAAACGGTATATTTATACGATAAAAACGAGGTAAATAAATGTATTTTCTTTTTAGATTATCTGTCAGGAAGTTCAAAGCCAAACGTGTGTCTTAACTTTTGTGTATGTGAGGAACCCTTGGGCTTTGTTAATCTGTGTTCGTAAGACTTCACACAGGTGTCGGTGGGCTGCATTCTCATCTGGAAGCTTGAGTGGAGGGAGTCCACTTCTGTGCTCACCCAGGTGGCACAATTCATTTCCATGTAGCTGTATGACTGGGGCCCGGGCGTTTTGCTGACTGCCAGCCAGAGGCTGTCCTTAGCACCTAGAGGTTACCGGCAGTTCTCTGCCACGTGGCCTTCTCCATAGGTAGTTCAAACTATGGCCGTTTGCCTTTCTGAGGGCAGCAAGGCAGTCTCTCATACCAGCCTGCTAAGAAGGAATCTTATATAAGAATGTAATCACAGCAGTGACATCTCATTACTTTTGCTATGTAATGAAACCCAGACAAGGGCTGCATATCCTATTAACCTTGCCATGTTCAGTGGGCTAGAAGAGAGTCACAGGTTCTATCCACACTCAAAAGGAGGGGATTATGCAGAGTGAAACATGAAGAGGTGGAGATTACGGGGGTCATCTCAGAATTCTGCCTACTGTAACCCATGTTTCCCAAAGCGCATTTCATTGAAGGTTACTTCCAGAGGTTGTAAGTGTGTATTCCTCAAGAATCTTTTTCAAGTAACAGAATGCAAGTGACAGGAGACTGATTCAAACCGTCTGAAGAAAATAAACAAAAAAGTGATGATGTTTGCTCATAGAACAGAAAATTTGAGCTTTAGGCAGATGGGGCAACAGCGCAGTTAGGACTGAGAAGGACTCAGCTTCAGTAAAGCCTTGATACAGTAAATAAAAGAGCATATCAGAACCGGGAAGTTATGAACCTTGAACAGCACTTAGGGAGAGCTCTGCCGGAGGAATCAGCCATGACACAGGACATGCTGGCGTTGGGATCAAGGGCGCTCCACTTGTGTTCCCTGTGACTGAGATTAAATCCGAAAAGCCCGCGCTGTGCGTAAAATGAGGAGGGAAGAAAACACAGGCTGACGTCCTGCCACCTGTCATACTCTACTGTGCCGCACAATGTTGTCTCTCACACCTTTCTGCATTTGTAAATATCATTACTTTTTCTCCTACGATAACCTTTGTTCCTCTCATCCTTGTCTACTACGCACCTGAAAAACGATCACGTTTCCATGATTCAGTTCAGTAGCTCTAAGAGGTCTTCTCTCACCCCTGCTTGTCATTTGGGTATATTTGGGTGCCACACCCCGTGTGCCCATAATTCGGGAGATACTTTTGCTAAGCTCAGCCAATTCCCCATTCCCGACCCCTTCTTCCTTCGTACCTCGAGCCAATCGTGGCCGCTGGACATGGTTCTTGCCAATGAGACATAAATTAAGTCTTGATGTGGGAAAAGCTTTTGTTTTCTTGACACAGGAGTCCTACCTTTTCTCACCCTATTCTCCTCGATTAGAAAACACAGGCTTGATGGCTGGAGCTATATAGCTGTCTTATGACCGCTGTGAAAAGGGCATGCGACTCAGAAAGATCTGATATTCTTAAGCGGATGAATCAGCCTAGCGACCAGCTCCCACTTTACTTCTTATATGTCAAGCAAAACAAAATAAAAACTAACCTTTAATTGTTTAATTTCTAGATGATAGCACTGATTTAGAATAGGCAGTTACTTATGTGGCACCATGAACGAACTCCTTCATATTGTAAAGTTTGTCTTGTTTTTTTCTGTCTTATTCATATTAGCATCCGTATTCTTAGAAGATTACCTAGCACATAGTAAACATTCAGCAAATATTGGTTAAATGTTTTATCTTCCAAATTTGAATAGCTTATGTGGAGAGAATAATGTATTCTTAATAATCAGCACGAAAAGTTGCTAGTGGCTTGATTTATCTAGGTTTTTAGTTATTGATTGATTTTATTTAGCATGTTATCAGTAGCTTAGAAATACAGGAAAGGCAGATGAATAAAATCTATAGGGGTGTAAAACTGCAGCTGTAGATAAACGATTGGATGATAAAAGCAGGATTCAGAATGACATAGTAAAAAAATTGGGGAGAGTCTCTTATGCTAGATGAGGTAAAATCAATAGGAATAAATGAAGTTAGCACTTAGCAAAAAAAAAAAAAGTACAATTTTGAATTCAGAGTAGATCAGAAGCAAAACCTAACAAACCCAAACCTGTTTGCAGAGCACTAGACGCTTCTAAGTTAACATCAGATGAAAAAGCGTTGACAGAATGAAGAATATTTAACTTGGGGAAGATGAGGAAAGGGTAGGGAGAAAGAGTGTTTATAACATGTGACATAGTTGAAGCAGTTTCTTGGAGGAGATAAGTTTGATTTGTTTGATATACTTTTAAAGGTACTAAGAGAAAAATTTGCAACCAAGTGTAGAAGCTTCAGGTTGAGAAATTGGAGCTCAAGGTGAGGAAGATGTTAGCAATACAAAATTTCCCCAAGTGGATTTTCCTGACTTGTGAGGCCCAGAGCTGTGCTGACTGGCAATGAGTTGTCATGTAACTGTCTGTTAAGGAGAATGACAAAGTTTCCTTCTTTGGTTAGGAACTTGATTAATTTGCCTGTTAAGAGGCTTTCATTTTTTTTTTTTTTTTTAATTATTTTTGGCTGTGTTGGGTCTTCGTTGCTGTGCACGGGTTTTCTCTAGTTGTGGCGAGCGGGGGCTACTCTTCGTTGCGGTGCGTGGGCTTCTCATTGCGGTGGCTTCTCTTGCTGCGGAGCATGGGCTCTAGGTGCCCGGGCATCAGGAGTTGTGGCTCGCGGGCTCTAGAGCGCAGGCTCAGTAGTTGTGGCTCACGGGCTTAGTTGCTCCGCGGCATGTGGGATCTTCCCAGACCAGGGCTCGAACCCATGTCCCCTGCATTGGCAGGCGGATTCTTAATCACTGTGCCACCAGGGAAGCCCAAGAGGTTTTCATTGATAGGTTAAAGCAAGTTGACAGATTCCTTTCATTTGTTGCACAGCATGGTATTTTGGGGTAGCTTCTGAAATAAAGTGACAAGTTGGTGGTAGTTATGGGGTGAGGACTTGCTAACCAGACTCTGTGTTCAACTTGGTTTTTATAATAAGAGGGTTCCCTATGCTGCCCCTTACTTATCGCAGGACGAAAGTGTATCTGATGCTGTCTGTCGGTGCTGGATGAGGGAGGCTCTGTGGTACTTGCCTATTTCAGGTACTGTGTTGCCAGCTACTTATACACCAACACAAGCATGTTCATATTCTGGGAATCATTGAATCACAGGTCACAGTATATTTACCTGCATGATTATTGCATATGTTTAATTTGGCTTGTACAGTTTTGGACTTTTTTGAATTTTAATGCTTTTGAAGGGGTCATCAGTGGTGGACAAAATGGAGTTTGCCACAGGTTTTCCAGACCCTGTTGTATTTCATCCTCTCCAAAAATCATTGGCTTTTGCAATCCCTGGAAGCTGTTTTGACTTCAGGGATAAATCAGAATTTTGCAGAATAGGGATGAGTTATTGATCTGATGACTCATACATTAGTATTTCTGGCCCTCACTGCCTGGTCCTAAGGCATATTAGCCACAGTTCTAGCGCTCAGAGGCCGCCTGTGGCTCGTAGCCACTGTCGTGCACAGTGCTGGCCGTGTGAATGACACAGAAGCTTCCATGTGTTTGCCACGTGAACAAACCCTCTTCCATAACTCTACCTCTTCTCTCTTTCCTCAGTCTCTCTCTCTTTTTTAAAAAGAATCTTTAAATCTCCTATGGTCCTGTAGACTTCTCTTTCCAAAATAATTTACCCCATTTTTAGAAACCATTGAGTCCCAAGTCCACTTTTGTGTCATGTAAATTATGGAAGAGTAATTTAGTCGGTCTGTGCACTGCTAAATCCCCCAAACCTAGAACAGTTATGAATACATAGGCAGGAATTAAGAAAAATTGGTCAAGTGAATGCATAGATAAATGAATGAATTCATGCTCCAGGATAAGCCATGAATTGAAAATGTTTCCAGCTCTGCCAGATTTCTGCACCTGTTTGGGGAGAAAAGTGGTCTCCTGGGTGAAGGAGGAGGGACAGCCAGCTAATCCCACACGGGGAGACCCTTCCCCTTACCAGGCATATTTTTTAAAAACTAATATCCTGCACTGTGGAGATGAGCGTTCTCAGTGAAATAATCCTGTTCCCTCTGTTAACATAATTTTGATCTCATTATCAAGAGATATTGACTCTTTTCCTGATGGAGGCTGTATTACAAATCCTCTAATTAATTTGAAAATAAAGGGGTCCAGGCCTGCTATTATTGCTCCTATCTTGGTATAGCGCTATTAAAAAGGTTAAGCTTATCACATATATTTTAAATGTATATATCTTGAGAGCTGTAACCACCTTTTTCCTCTACCAGCTTAGCCAAGAGCCTTAAACGTAGTAGGCTGCGGATAGACATCTATCGCCGGATCAGTCAGCAGAGCGAGGCATCATCCTAGTCACACAGAGTACCTCAGTCAGCAAACTAAAGCCCTTATGGAGTTCACATTTAGGTGGAAGGATGGGAAGGAAGAAAAATAATAAGCCTCAGTCACAATCAATGAAAAAATATATACTTCAGTAGAAAGTGATCAATGTGATAGAAATAACTGGTAGAGTAGGAAAGAGAACCAAGAGAGGGGAAGAGATGGGTTGTAATTTTAAGTAGGCAATAAATTCAAACATTTTAATGCAGACCACTATGCTTTGATCTCATACAATATAGTATGATTTTTAAAAGAGAAACAGTAACATTATTTACACGTATGAAATTCATCTGAGTTTACTTTAACCTGAAATTTTATTTGTATAATATTACTTGGCAGTCCTTTAGCTTGCATGTGACTGAACTGCTATAAACTGAGAGGTAATGATAGAGGGCTTTGCAACCACCTGGGAAAAGTATAGGAAAGGAAAATATTATACACCTTACTCAATAATCTTGAGTTGGAAAAGGACAGAAAAATCACGCCAACAAATCTTGAGGAGTTAAATAGTTACTGCAAATGCCAGTTGTGAGAAACCACTAATAACAATGAACCTAAAAGGGTAGAACTACAAAATGAAATTCTACTTGAAAAAGACACATAACATATAGAATCAAAATTATAGAGATTTAGAAAATAGTAATGAGGAAATAGAAGATGTAACAACTCAGAAATTACATATATTAAATGGATTTTTCAGATTATATGTTAAAAGTAAACCGTATGAGCAGGGAGCTGCCCAGATATATCCTCATTCATAACTAGATAAAAATGAACTCCTTATCCATTGTATTTTAGATCAATCATTAAATTGAGAACAACAGATAGTTAGAAGAAGTAGCATGGCAGAAGAAATTATAGTGATTGTCAGTCAAGAGGTGTGACTTTGATCTCATCTCTGACAAGTGACCTCTCACATTTGTGGCTGTAAATGAAATGGTTAGGCCAAATGCCCAGTAAGAGCACTTCTAACTCTAGAATTACATGAGTCCAAAGATCCTTCTGGGATCTTTCAATTAATAGAAATAATTACCTGGGCTTAGATAACTGGTTGATGCTACTTAAAATCATGCAATCCCCATCACAAACCCAAGGAACATTATTAGCACAAATGTTCCTTTTAGTTGGCCCCTTCTGGCAATCTGAAGTTTTTCTTTCATTTCTCATACCAATCTATTCTATCAGTATGTTGGAAACAATAATGGTAGAGGATTAAATGGGCATAAAGTTATACGGTTGGTCCTGATGCAAAACATGTAAAAAGCTTTTTTCTTAAATCAAATAGATAGCAGAGAAACACCAATACCTTTAGTCACAATGCCCTCAATACCGGGGATATGACAATAAATTAGTGGGATACCAAAAATAAAAGCCACGGATATAAAGACTTTAAATATTTGGGGATCATCATTACATTATCTTACCTTCAAGACTGAATCCCAGGAGAGCTCCACTTTCACGACACCAGCATGATGAGTTCCATAGGTGAATACCTAGAGAAACAAGCAAAGCTAGTGCAGACTATAAAAAATAATCCAACCATTTAAAGTTTCTGGAAATAGTCCTAAGGACACACAGCAAAGCAGTGGAGAAAGAGACATTTAGTCAATAAAATCTACTAAAATGCAGTAAGGTAACGAGCCTCAATCCACTTCCTCTTTCTCCCCCCCACCCCCTTTCTGGCTCAGATCCACAGAAGCTTCACCCTAGGTAGGGGTGGCCAAGAAGATGAGGCTTCCTCTCTTCTCGGTTTCCAGTCAAAGCTTACGTTATCCCATTGAGACAGAAAGTTACCAGCATTGCTCATTTCCTCCAGCTTCAAGTCGAAGAGGCTATATTGCTGGTGAGTATGGGTGAGAGGTTAAGGGCTACCTTCCTGCAACCTGCTTCTGTCCACAGGATGAAGACTCCATGCAGGGCAGGTTGAGACCACTTGCACCAAGATTGCCCTCACTCCAGCTCACTTTAGGACAGAGGTCCCATGACGGGAGAGAGGCAAGTTGAGAAGAGGCTGCTGCCATGCCCAGTGCCCAGAACAGTGTTGCAGAGAGTTTGTCCAGGGGGAGAGGCAGTCTATAGGAGAAGAAAGTTCTGCAGCTCCTCCCAAAGGAACTGATTTCGTCTGGAACAGTGTGTGGAGAAATTCAGGGCTAAGGGGGTCCTCGCAAACAATAGTCCCTCTTACACATTGTTGACTGGAGGATTTTTGCAGAAACTAACACCTGTGGCCCTAATACATCTCCGGTCAAAAATGTGTTAATTAAGAACAACGCTCAAAACCACAGGTGAGCTAGTTCAACAGAGAATTAGGAAAAGAGATACCTAAGAACCCTTGTAGGATCAGAAAAAATCTTAAAGACTTACCTCAAAAATATGTCTGCAAAGGAGCCCAGATTTCATTGGATTAGACTTCTGAGCAATATGTTCTGTCTTGAGGACATTGTCAACAAAAATAGAATCGTCAGCTGGTAATTAGAAAAGTCCAATGGGTAGGGGCGAACGCCAAATGAAGCCGACCGTTTACCAGAGAGATCATGGAAAGAGACAAAAGAGAGCCCTGTTAAAACTGCTGTTATCTCAGGGTGACTAGGCCCCATCCGAGGCTGCACCCAAGGAGGTATAAAGAAGGTAGAAATAAGATTTCATTGAAAGAGCCAAACCAAGTCACCAAAATACAAACAAGCAAACAACAAAAACAGATCTTTGGGGGATCCAGAGTGGCTACAATATATTACCTAAAATGTCCAGTTTTTAATAAAAAATAATGAGACCAGGGCTTCCCTGGTGGGGCAGTGGTTGAGAGTCTGCCTGCCGATGCAGGGGACACGGGTTCGTGCCCCGGTCCGGGAAGATCCCACATGCCGCGGAGCGGCTGCGCCCGTGAGCCATGGCCGCTGAGCCTGCGCGTCCGGAGACTGTGCTCTTCAACGGGAGAGGCCACAGCAGTGAGAGGCCTGCGTACCACAAAAAAAAAAAAAAAAAAAAAAATTATGAGACCATCAATGAAACAGGAAAGTGTGACCCACATATAAGAAAATAAGAAAGAAAATCAGGAAACAGGAACTGCCTGTGAGAGGAATTGATGTCAGATTTCACAAAGGCTTCAAAATAGCCATGATAAATATGTCATAAAAATAAAGGAAATTATGGTTGAAGAAGTAAAGGAAGGTATGAAGACAGTGTCTCATCAAATAGACAATATTATTAAAATGATAGGAATTCTAAAAAGAGAACCAAACAGAAATTCTGGAGTTGAAAAACATATACATAAAATGAGAAATTCAGTAGAAAAGCTTAGCAGTAGACTTAAGCCAGCCAAAGAAAGCACCTTAACATCATTACAGATAGATAGGGATTATGCATTCCAAAGGAAAGAGAGGAAAAAGGATGAAGAAAAATAAACAGAACATACTTTAGAAGAAATGGACAAATTTCTAGAAAGACACAAACCACCAACATTCTGCAACCTCACAGTAAGTAAATAGCCTGAATTAGTAACTTTCATTTATTTGCGGGAATATCCTCTTTCTTATATTCATTATGGAATGATGGAGCTTACATTTCCATCAGACAAGTAAACTTGTTTACCTCCTAGTCTGTCCCCCACTGTCACTTCTACTTCCTTCTAGTAAGAGATGAAAGAGAAAAAAAAAAATCTAATGGATCTTTTATTAACAGTTGATTGGAAGAAGAAATTTGTAAAGAGTGTTCATGATGGTACTACTTCTGCTTTGGTATTTACCCCTGCTTAGTTATTTTCTTTTGCCTTCATTTCTTCATAGTTCATACTTGTTGCAAGACACAGCCCGAGTGCCTTAACTGGTGAATTCTCCTAAATATTTAAGAAAAATATAACATTGATATTATACACATTCTTTCAGAGAACAGAAAAAAATTATTAAACAGTTCTCAACAGGAATTATGGAGTCAGTATAACCTTGATACCAAAACTAACAATAAAAATTTGTGAAAGAAAAATCATAAATAAACAACTATGAAAAAAACTTCTAAACAAAATCTAACAGAATCTACAACTATATAAAATGTATACTACACCATGACCAGGGTAGGTTCATTTGAGATTTATTATTTGAAAATCAATTAAGTCACATTCACAGAATTTAAAAAAAAAGATCATATAATCTTCATAACAGGTACTAAAAAAAGATTTGGCAAATCAAACTATTTATGATAAAAAGAATTGGGAAACTAAAAATAGAATAAATTTCCTTATTCTGATATTACATTTCTAAAAATGAAAATCTTATGGCATCCTTCATATTAATGGTGAAATATTGAAATCTTTTTCTCTCATATAAGGAACGGAAAACAAGAACGCCCTCTATTACCACGTTTATTCATTATTGTGCTTGAGATACTAGCCAGCACTCTAAAGCAAAAGTATACAAACACATACATACGTGAACTGTTTAATATTGAAAAATGGAAAACAAGTTGCCATTTACTCATGGGTAATTTTATTATATATAGACATCCAAAAGAATCTACAAATAAATTATTAGAACAAGTAAACGAATGTAGCACAACTGATGGATAGAACTTTACATTTTTAAATTGTATTTTATGTAACAACAAAGAATTTTAAATTTTACAGAAATTACTAAAAGAATGAAGATATATTTTCCACTTTCAAAATGAGCAGAAGAGAAAGAAAACAATCTAAGGAATCTTTGGAGACTACCAAAGACTGATGTCAAGAAAAGGGTTCGGTAACTTAGGAGGTGGGACAGGGTTGTTTGTACCTCTGCTCTCAGCTCCGCTTCTCATCTTCTGTGCTCCGCTCTGTATCACAGAGGGCTGGATGCCCGAAAGGTACCTTCCTGAGACTTCCTTGACTGCTGGCTTCTGTTAGACTCTGACACCGTGGCAGGTGAGTAGAAGTTGGGAGGAAGGAAACTAGGCCAAAACTCACACCTTTTTTAGGTGGGGAGGGCAGAGCGTTTAGCATAGGCTTCAGCTGCAGTTGCAGAGGGTGACAGTGAGCCCCTGGGCTCTTCCTCAGGCAGCCTGCTTCCAGCAGCTTGTACAGGTTTCTGGGGGCATCGCAAAGCAGCAGTAGCTGCAGGGGCTTTAGCGGCCCTGGCTAACGTGCCCTGACTCCGTCTGTTTCAGTGACAGATGCAAGGAACTCTGGGCCCCAGGTTTCCCACCCTAGCAACAGGAGAATGGGCCATGGTTTCCGCGAGGCAGCTTCCTCACTGCTTCCAGATAGTAGAGGCCACAGTGGGGCCCAGCAGCTCCACAGGGCAGTGACTGTCTTACTGAGGACACCCTTTCCCTTCTGCTTGGGTAGCCTAAGATGGCACTGGCTTACTGCAGATACTAATCACTTGGGAACCTTTTCGTTTCCCTTTTAAACCTTTTGTCACTTATTCCCTGTATTAAATTTCCTCCAGTTGAAATACCAGTCGAAGTTTCTATTTTCCTGACTGGACAGTGATACTGAATACACGATGGCACTACAGTACTGCAGAAATCAAGCCAGTTTTTCCTTTGTCTTTTCTTCCACTCTTACAGTTTAATTTACCATTAGGTATTTTAAAATTTACATATGTAGAATAAATCTCATTGATTTAATATGTAGTATGTAAATAAATGAAGATTGCATGATAAAATACATACAAATAGAAATAAGAATATTAAGTCAAGGAAAAATATTAAATTCTAGTGTTTGTATTTTAATACAAAAAAATTACTAAAATATACTAAGTCCTCCTGGAATTCACTATGTGGAGTATAAATAATAATGACTTAAATCAAGATAGGCATCATATAGTAAGTAAATACATCTTCCGTTCTCCTAGTTCTTTTTTTTAAAATTTAATTGAATTTATTTTTGTACAGCAGGTTCTTATTAGTTATCTATTTTACACATATTAGTGTATAAGCATATATATGTCAATCCCAATCTCCTAATTCGTCCCGCCACCACCACGGCCCCCCCGCCCCGAGTCCTTTATTTGGCACATATCGAGTAGAAAATATGATTATACTTCTAGACTAGAAATCCCTTCTAATATTGTTCACTAGAATCCAAGTTTCAGATTTTGATTTTTTTATGACTTGTCACAGTGAATCTATTAACAAGTATTGTATTTCCTGATTGTGTTTGAATTACGATAGGGTATTTCTCCATTGGGTTTCAAGGATCGTGATGTGATTCATTGTGTGTATTTATGAGTTGCTCATATAATTACAGAGACAAAAATACATATGAAATGAAAACACAATTTTAGGCATAGGAAAAAAGGTTCACTTTTATGAACATTATCAGTGAAACATGTGACACACCAAGAGAGAAATACACCAGATGAAGACACCATGTTATAAGAGGATGTGCTTACCTTGTTTTGTGCAATCTGGTGCATTCCTATATCTAGAAAAGTTCTCAACGTCCAGGAATACTAGATAATTGTATAGGAAAGGTCTTTTATTGTTTTCTTGTTTATTGATTGATTGATTTTTTAATATTTTTATAGATCTTTATTGCAGTATAATTGCTTTACAATACCGTGTTAGTTTCTGTTGTACAACAGAGTGAATCAGCCATATGCATACACCTGTCCCCATATCCCCTCCCTCTTAAGCCTCCCTCCCACCCTCCCTGTCCCACCCCTCTAGGTTGTTGCAAAGCACCAAGCTGATCTCTCTGTGCTATGCAGCTGCTTCCCACTAGCTATTTTACATTTCGTACTGTATATATGTCGCTGCTAGTCTCACTTCACCCCAGCTTCCCCCTCCCCACCCCGTGTCCTCAATGCATAGGAAAGGTCTTTAATCCAGGATTTTCTAAGGATGACTAAAAGATTTATTGAGAATGAGTGAAACCTCAATCAGAATTAGAACTACAAATTTCACTACACATTAAATTAGGCACTAGTCAATGTGCCTGTACATTTATAGATGGTATTTTGATATAAGCTTTATTTTTTTTCACTTCCTTGTATGCAGCTGGTCCCCTACTGGGTCCGTATAGATTGCCTTTACATAGTATTGATATAACAGAGAGGGCAGAGTGTGGACTCAGGATGCAAGCTGTGTGGCTTCGATTCCTGGTTTCCTCACCAACTGTGCAGTCTTGGTTAAGTTTCTTAATCTTCCTGTACTTCAGTAACATCATTTATTAAATGTTATGAGTGTAAAATGGATAACACAGGCAAGTACTTAGCAAGATATCTGCCACGGTCTCGGTCTCAGGACGTTGCCACATTAAGACTGTTATAGCTGGGATGCAGAGGACAAAGCAGTCGAGGTCAGCTGTTTGCACTTTAAAACAGGCTCATAAAGTCCATTTCAGGTGATTAAAAGTAGGCTTTCAATCACAAAGGAGATTTGAAAACAGTTTACTAAATTATCAAATCTACTCTTTAAACATCACATCAGGAACAGAAGTTTGGAGGATTGAACATGAAGTTTTTACTACAAACTATGGAATAGGAAGCATGATTTAGGGGCAATTTCCTGCTGAACAGTGATTAGATAAAAGTCCTTGGCCAGGGGAAAGCCCTGAAGCAAGAGAGAGAAAAGTGCGTTGAGGCTTCAGAGGGAAGCCTACTCCCATATCGTAGGTGATTTCAGGGACAGAGAGCATGTTCTCTGTTCCCATTTGGGAGGCAGGGCTCTATAATGCTCCCCAAATGGGATGACCAGAGGATTTTACGTGAAGGTTTTGCGTATTCATGCAGAAAGAGGGCTTGGCTTGCATCTTTTGTTGCATCGCGGAGTTCTGAAAGACCTGGTGGTGTGGAGAAAAATCACGAAATTGCTTCATGCCTGAAGAGAGAACATCTGATTGTAAAGAAGGTTAGTAGATCACTGGAGGCCTGGGGTTGAGATAAGGGGCAAAATGAGTGTGTACACATCAAGACCATGGTAGGGGCTCTGGTCATGAGCAAGGCTCTGTGGATACGTCAGCTGTGGATACAGAGAGAACAAAGGTGGTCATAAAAGGTTAATATGGAGGGTGATATAGGGAGGAGTACCCTTGAAAAATACACTCCCCCACTCCCTCTGTTGTGATGACCTGTCAGCAGCTGCTTACTTTCCGAAGCTCTCCCACAGGGGACCGGGTCAAGAGGCAAGCGCCCAAGAGGAGTGCATATCCTTAACATCTCTGTTAATTAAATACTTACACCAAAAAGAACGTTTCGACAAGATGTGACAGAATTACCTGCAGAAGCCTAGATTATATTTCTTTAAAAAATAGACTTTAATTTGTAGAGCAGTTTTGGGTCCACAGCAAAATTGAATGGAAGGTACAGATATTTCCTATATAACCCCCATCCCTACACATGCATGGCCCCCACCATGGTCAACAACCGCCATCACAGTGGAACATTTGTCACAATTGATAGACCTAAAATGACACATTATTACCAGTGAGAGTCCATAGATTACCTTGGAGTTTTTCCGAGAGGGTTTACTTGCCCTTCGTTTTTGAAGGATTATTTTGCAAAGTACAGATGACTGGGTTGGTGGTTTTTCTTCTCTTAACACTTTAAATATTGCACTCCACTCTCTTCTGGCTTGCTCCTTTCTGAGAAGTCAGATGTAATTCTCACCTTTGTTCCTCTCTCAGTGTTGATTCGTTGTGGTGTCTTGCAGGATTTTTTTTCTTTATCTTTGATTTTCTGTAGTTTGAAAATGATATGCCTAGATGTACATTTGGGGGGCATTTATCCTGCTTAGCATTCTCTGACCTTTCTGGATCTGTAATTTGGTATCTGATATTAATTTGGGGGAAATTCTCAGTCACTATTGTTTCCAATATTTCTCCTGTTAATTTCTCTCTTTCTTCTCCTCCCTGTATTCCCATTATGTGTATGTTAGAACTTTGGTAGTTGTCCTATAGTTTGTGGACATTATGTTCTGTTTTCCTTTATTACAGTTTTTTTTCTATTTGCTTTTCAGTTTTGGAAGTTTCTATTAAGATATGCTCTATACCTGAAACGAACACAACATTGTCAATTAACTATACTCCAATAAAAATTTTTTAAAAAACGATATGCTCAAGTGCAGACATTCTTTCCTCACCTGTGTCCAATCTACTGCTAAACCCAACAAGGGAATTCATCTCTGTTACAGTGTTTTTGATCTCTAGCGTGTTTCTTTCTCTCTCTTTCATAGGATTGCCATCTCTGTTTATATTGCCCATCTGTCTTGCATGCTGTCTGCTTTATCCTTCAGAGCTCTTAAAATTTTAATAATAATTGTTTTAACTTTCTGGTCTGATCATTCCAATATCCCTGCCATGTCGTCTCCTAATGCTTGCTTAGTCTCTTCAGAGCGTGTTTTTGCCCATAGTATGTCTTGCAAATTTTTTTGGTAGCCAGATATGATATGCTGGGCACAAGGAACTACTGTAAATGGGCCATTAGTAACGTGGGGGGGAGTTGTGTAGGGGGAGGGGAAGCATTCTATGGTCCTTTGATTCGGTCTCGGTCTTTTCATGAGCCTCTGCACCTGGATGGAGAGCTTCATGTGTGCTTCTCAATTACACCCCCTCACCCCGCTCAGGTGGGACAGGATGGCCAGAGTGGGCTGGAATTGGGGATTTCCCTTCCCCCAGAGCACTTAGACTGATAAACCCCAGCCGGTTAGGCTCTGGTTAAATAGTTTCTCCCGAGGGCAGATCTTGCGAAAACCAGAATGCTCTGGTGCATTTCAAGATGGCTTCTTTTCCCATCCCCTACGAAAAGCGTGAGAGGATTTTTCTCAGATATTCACTGTCAGAACCCGGTAACGCTCCCAAAGTTAAGACTCACGAAAGTGTGGCGTCCTCCCGGTGACTGGGTGCCCCTGGAGCTTTTCCTCTCTCAGACTTGTCCACACTGACCAGCAATTCATCAATTACAGCTCGGCTTTTTATACCCCCGTGCTTGGTTCCTACAGAGGTTTCTGCCGCGGGGCTTCTGATCCGGTAAGTGCTGATTCTTTGTATTCGCCTGTCAGTGAATTTCGTAGCAGCAGTTTGTCCGTGTGACCCCACTTAGTGGTCTAAAGAGTTGTTGATTTTTCAGTCTGTTCAGCTTTTCACTTCTTGTTAGGACGGAGTGGCGACTTCCAAACTTCTTATGTGCCGAACAGGAACTTGGAAGTCTATATTACAGTTTTTAAAGGAAGCTCCGAGAACAAGTTGAATGCAGTGGGGAGAAATACGGAGAGTTGTGCTTCTGCACATCTGAATCATAATGCATAAGTATCCAACTTGCTATTAAAAAAACACTGGGGGCTTCCCTGGTGGCGCAGTGGTTGAGGGTCCGCCTGCCGATGCCCAGGTCCGGGAAGATCCCACATGGCGCGGAGCGGCTGGGCCCGTGAGCCATGGCCGCTGAGCCTGCGCGTCCGGAGCCTGTGCTCCGCAACGGGAGAGGCCACGGCAGTGAGAGGCCCGCGTACCGCAAAAAAAACCAAAAACAAAACTGTATACCACACACTTGTAAACCATCGACACTAAATCATGAATATGTGAGGGACGGGAAAGGGCTCCTCTTCCAGGGGCTTCTCCTTTTCTGTCTGCATTGCCTTCGTTCTGCAGCTCTTCTCACTCCCTGGATATCTTGCCCCAGCCTGTGTAG